TAAGTCGTTATAACGAGAAAACAACTCTCGTTATGTCGAGATAACGAGAAAATTAAGTCGTTATAACGAGAAAACAACTCTCGTTATGTCGAGATAACGAGAAAATTAAGTCGTTATAACAAGAAATAACGAGAAAACAAGAAGGAAAAAAAATATATTGCATGGCCGCTTAGAACTTCTGTAGAATATGACAGGTGGATATAAAATAAAAATGAATTGTTGACATCAGCTGAAAAAGAAAGTCGACTGAGAGATTTTAATGAAAGATTAGGAAGACAAATATTCATGTTTTAAAATAACATGGACTTGTACATCAGTCAAAACAAGACCTGGAAGTCGTAATAAGAAGGTAATAGGGCTGCACGATTATGACAAAAATAGTAAAAATATGAATGGTATTATAATGTTATACTAAAACTAAAATAGAAAAACCCTTAAGATAACATGTACAAAGAAAAAAACGTTGTCGCAGTATGGAGGCTTTCGGTTCAGTCACGCTCAAATCAAAGCTTGAGGAGAGCTAGTAATGGACGACTAGCTGACTTCAAACAAACCTGAAAGGAGCTCAGCGACAGATTTCACTGCAATAGCCTTCACACACCAGCTGAAAGAAATCTCGAATGATTCGACAATGTAACATGTTTATAAGTAAACCAGCAAATCAGCATATTAGAATGATTTCTGACACTGAAGACTGGTGTAATGATGCTGAAAATTCAGTTTTTGATCACAGCAATAAATTACATTTAACAATATATTCACATAGAAAAAGCAATTTTAAATTGAAATAATATTTCACTATTTTTACTGTCATTTTTAATCAAATAAATGCAGCTCTGGTTAACAGAAGAAACATTTTAAAAATCTTACAGGTCCCAAACATTTGAAAGGGGTGCATGTATGTTTCTTAATGTCTTCTTTGACATAAAAGTACTTTATAAACATAGTTTTAATATATTTTTTAACATTTTTGCTTTTTAAAAAAATTCAAATGTTTACAATTGGACTTTTTTAGTTTCTCATATTCCAAATGCATCAAAAGTTTTCAAATTTTAGTTTAAAGTATATAATAATTATAATATATTTATTCAATAAATGAAGATATCCAAGCAAATTTGATGCAAACCAGGTAAAAAGAAGAAAAATAGGGGAAAATAATAATAAATGAATGAATAAGTGTAAGCAGTTTTAAAAGGTAAATAATACATTAATTTATATAAATCAATAATAATACAATATACAATATTTCCCATATACACCAAAATGATATTAAATGGAGAAGAAATTAGATTTTACTGCTTTTTTCCAGAGTTTCTCAAACTACCTGCAACCAAAAGTCTGAGATCTAAATATGAACTCAATCATTTCTCATCAAATTATCTGAGCTGCTCTCCACATTCATTTGATACACTCTTAAAAAAAACCTTTCAGGTATCAGTTCTTAAAACAACCATTTTTATTTGTTCTTAGAACATTCTGAAAGTCCAAAGAACCTTTTTTTTTCATTATAAAGATTCTATGTTTCCATTTTCATTATCCACATTCCATGCCAATAATAAACCTACATAGATGCCAATAATAAGAGTGTATCTGCATACACACTGCATCTCAATTTTCTCATTTTAGTTTTATTTCTCTTAATGAACTTCTGAAATGCCAACGATGAAACTCAAGTATCCTGAGCTCTGAAAGAGCATCACCTGAGCAATGAAATGTCCACAAACCGAACTGAAACGTTCTTCTCAAATCAATCGATTCTTCCTGAAAACCCCTTGGAGTTTATAATGGAGAAGCAAACGAGCACAAGCCGCCGGTGAGGTGTTTTTGATTGATAGGAAGCCGTAATGTCCTGACAGATACGAAGGCCACGCTCATCTCCGCTCTGCTTTTACAATTTGCTTGCCAGTTCCAGAAACCCCTACAAATGTAAATGACACCAGGAGAGCAGCTCTAAAGACGATAATTCATCATACACACTGATTAA